GGAAATTCAAATCCCGGGCTTCATTTGCAACTCCGTATGACTACATTACCCCCCCCTAGTTCGAACTAGGGGGGTAGTGTAGACATACCCAGAGTGAGCCACTGGGCAGTGTATTGTTCTTTGCTAGTTCCCATCACCTCACACTCTGCTTTCCTTGGGAAAGGGGCTAGTACACATGGACTTGGCATTGGCTCTGAACAGTTCACTCCAATGATCCGGATGGAGTACGTTGGTCCAAAGCTCCTTAGAAACAGAAGGGATAGACAGATCTAGTCTTTGAAACAAGTGCCTCTTCAGTAACCAGAGTGTGAGTCTGTGAGGGGGAGAGAGAACAACCTTCTATGCTTCTAGAAACGTGAAACTTACAATAGCCACCCCACAGAATGGGGCCAGCTGAATCCTTTAATAGCTTGTCTGTTTATGTTGTGAGTGCCTGAATGCACATTTTCCTCTGGAAATATTGGAGTCAGTGTTTTACTTTTCTGAGGCTTGGGGGGAAATTATGGTTCATATTTTAAAAATAAACATTTCTTTTAAAGATCTATAAATGCAGGCACATGGTATCCAAAATGCCTCTGTCCTCACCCTGTTTTCAAAGCTTTAATGTCGCGCGTGTGCCCCAGCCTCCCTAGTGAAAAAATTCACCTGAAATGTATTTATCTTTTTGCTAATTAGCAGAAAAATGACACAGAGACACTTTGTATTTTCTTCAGCAAGAACGGCCATAGAGACTTCATTTATGGAGGGTTCTAAATGTTCGCTATTCATGGCCAGCAGCACTGTCTGTACCAATAGTTCTTTGTGAGCTGAGCAGAGCAAAAGGGAAAAAAGCATATTTATATAAAAATGCATATGAAAAGAGGATGGAAACAAAACGCACATATATTTTAATTCCATTTTGTTCCCTGACTGTCCCTTTAAAAACAGGACCTATGGTATCCTGTTTTGAAAAGGTCAGTCAGGGAACATATATTTGCAGCTATATATGTGTATGTGTGGGGGGGGGTTGCTCCTGGTGAGTGGGAGGGAAGAGTGAGTATGAGGGGGAACTCTCAGGTGCCCTGATACCTGTGTGATTCTCGGTTTGTTTGTCTCCTTTTGCAGGTGGTCAGGGCAATAACCAGCATCCTTCTGTGAAAAGTCATCCGCCTTGCGGATGTGGATGCCATCATCGAGGGGTTTGGCACCCTTGGCTTCCCCAACTGCGGGGGAGCTATTGACAAGACGCACATCCCTATCCATGCCCCAGACCATCAGGCCTCAATGTACATTAACCACAAGGGATCCTTTTTGGTGGTCCTGCAGACTGGGGTCAGTTTATGGACATAAATATTGGGTGGTCAGGGAAAGCACATGACACGTGTGTTCAGGAACTCTAGCATTTGCCAGAAGCTGCACACTGGGACTTTCTTCCCTAACTGCCACATCAGGGTCAGGGACATGGACATGCCATATACCTCATGGGGGAAACCTATGGCCTGCAGCCATGGCCCATAAAGCCCTACACCGGTCACCTCAACTCCTCATGACAGGCATTTAATGCCAGATTGAGCAGGGCCTGCATGGTGGTCGAGGGTGACTTCAGCTTCCTGAAGGCATGTTTTAGATGTCTTCTCATCCGCCTGGACCTTGGGAGCACAACATTCCACATGTGGTGGCTGCATTCTGTGTCCTGCACAACATGTGTGAGAGGAAGGGGGAGGCCTTCCTGCCAGGGTTGGGGGCAAAGGCAGACTGCTTAGGCGGGGTGTAGGGTAAATTGAGGCAGTCAATGATATCTTGCTGAGAACTGACAAACTCAAACCTGAAAGTACTAGGCCAGCTTGGGAAGTAAAACAGTTCAACAGTTACTGTGACTCTGGTTCCCCTGGCAACCAAATTCCAAAAGGGCCTCACTTTGATAAGGCCAGTACCAAGGGGGGGGGGGGGGGGGGAAGGGGGGGTATGTGTGAGCATGCATGTGTGGGGGAATGTATATCTCAGGGCATCAATGCATTAGTGAGAATGTATATTTGTGTGTGCCAATGGCTATACTAGAAGACTACTATCAAGAAGACTACTATCTATAGCTCTGAGTATGTGTGTGCATAGCTGTGTGTGTGTGCATAGCTCTGAGCGTGTGTGTGTCTGTGCACAGCTCTGAGCAGGGGCAGATGACCATTTCACGGGGGCCAGGGCAGCACAATTTCGCAGGGCCCCCCTTTGCCACGGCGCATGCACGGTGGCGCCACAGCACATGCACAGGGCTTCTTGAAGCATGGGGCCCGGGGCAGCCACCCCGCTCGCCCTGCCCTATATCCTCCCCTGGCTCTGTATGTGTATGCGCATAGCTCTGTGTGTGTGTGTGCGTGCACAGCTCTGTGTGTGTATGCGCATAGCTCTGAGTGTGTGTGCGCATAGCTCTGTGTGTGTATGCGCATAGCTCTGAGTGTGCGTATGCGCATAGCTCTGAGTGTGCGTATGCACAGCTCTGAGTGTGTATGCGCATAGCTCTGAGTGTGTGCATTTTCTCATGCTAACCTGCAGTCAATGTCTCCTACTCTTGTTCACCTTCAGTAACAGTTTCTGTGGACATCAGACTCATTTATCTCAGTGGAACTTACTGGGAAACAAGATGCTACTCACCATAAGCAGAAGATCTGGGGCCTCAGAATATGTCTACACCGCAACCCTCCCTCCACACATAGCAGCAGTTTTGGAGCACGGGCCAGCTGACTTGGGCTCACAGGGTCCTGCTGTATGGCTAAAAATAGCAGGGTAGATGTCCAGGCTGGGTCTAAAACCTGGCAAAGTGGGAGGGTCTCAGAGCCCTGGGCTCCCTCCAGCAAAATTTCTCATCACGATGCTGAAGGCTTTGCAATGTTCCAGCCAGTGCGTCTGTGTTCAGCTTGCGCTTTCCTTGCACATGACTCTCTTGAGCTATGCTGTAATCTGTGTGAAGCCCCTTTATTTTCAGGGTGGGCACTGGTAAAGTGTGTCTCAGCATGAAGATGAGGGCTTGGCCTCTGGATCTGCAGGTGGATGGTGTGGCTCTGGGATGACGCGGTGCAGTGAAATCGGGGACTGCTTGCCGACATGGAAGGCTGCTGGATACCTGAGCCTGACAGTTGCATTAATCAGCCAAAATGAAAGTGTGGTTCTAGTTTAACAATATACAGTGTTACTGTGGGATGACTCCTTTGCCTTACCCTGAAGGCAGCCTGCTAAATCCGCATAGGGGCAGAATTTGGGGGTTTATTTGTCTATTTAGATTGTGAGCTGCTTGTGGCAAGCGCTGTGTCTTCCAGGGTTGGGCAGAACTGTGCACCTCAGCGCTGGAACTAGCTGTGCTGGTGGGGCTGCCGCACTGCATCCCCTGGCTTGAATAAGAGCCCAAGTACTTGGCTTTCCCTTCAGCACCTCACTATAAAAATGGGTCCCGCACCCCTGACCCTGAACCCTGTTAAGACAATGAATCAGACACATTTTCCCCCCCCCCCCTCCTCCTCTCCCCCCCT